GCCGGTTGAGCTATAGGCGCCGAGCCGGTAGAAGCTTTTTTAAAAAATTATTTCCTTTATAATCTTTGAACTAATGTGTTGACCCCCAACGACCCCAGGTGAACAGCGAGGCTTCCGGCTTATCTCTGTCACCACGTGGTGTCACGTTTAAAGTGCTCTGGCCCACTGCAGTCATGATTTTCTGATGTCCCAGTTTAGGTCAGGGCGACTTCTTCATGCTGCTCTAGTTCAGGGTCTTTAGACCTATTTCCACCCTGCACGTGAACGTGCTGCTTCTTGCCAATGCCCACTATGCCCTGTGTCTCTGTGTCTTCCTAGAACACGGAGCCCAGTGCCTGCTGCAGAGCCATTAACACGTGGTGACTGACTGACCTTACACTCCAAACTGCCTGACGTGAGAGATTTTCCTACTACAGAACAGAAACAGTTGAGTGCCTTCAGTTTTCCTTAGCCAAAACAACCTTAAAATAGGAACCTAAAATAAATAGCTTGGAAATAACACTTCTGGAAAGATCCCAAACTGGGTTTATCAGTTTTTATTTACAGAATTGTAAAAGCTGTTTCTCTAAAAAGAGCTCTCTCTCTCTCTCAACAACCCTCCTTGTTCAAATATAACTTAAATTCTAATTATCATTAATGATCCTGATCCAAAAATCTCTAATCTGCGAGGGACTCTGGAGAATCTGAGTCACAGAGACCAAGCCAGGACAAGAGTTTCTTCTCCACTCTAAAGCAGGACCGCAGTACTCTGCTTTCTCTTTAGATTGTATAGATCTTTCACCTTTTACTAAGCCAGTACCTCTCCTATGCCCCACACCCCACTGCACAAATCACCAATCCGTGCAAAGGGACGAATTGAGAGACTCTTGCAGAAAAATCTATTATGAAGCCAGCAAGCATGTGCACAGACTGAGGTTAGAGGCAAGGTTTAGGCTTTGTTGTGTATTTTTTGGTTTAATTGATTCTGTTATTTAAAAAGCTAACATCAGAGATTGGGGGTTCCTCAGCTAACTCACACCTTCTACCATCTGAACATTCATCTCAAACATTTCACAGACTATTTCCTGCTCTGCAGTGGGGGTGTGACAGGGTACTGGGGTGGGATATGAGGACACATATGCTCATGGTAGCTGGGATGAATGCCTGGGGAAAGATACATCAATCACACACTGCCTGCCTGCAATAAGCTGAGAGAACAGTGAGCTGGGGCTCCAAGGACAGGTAGGAAGTGCCAAGGGGGGGGAGCAACAGAGAATAGAAAGAGGAAGGCATCAGCCCCAGGGGAACACCAGGGAGTCCTGCTCACACTGTTAACTCTCTGCTGTTTTAAAGCCCTCCCCCTAACCAGATCTCAACTCTCAAACCATCACAGGGCAGCACAGGTCCACTGTCCCCACCTCAGGGCTACCTATGCCCTCTGCTGAGTTCTTTCATTGTAAAAGATCCTGAAAAGTGAGTCAGTCCCCTCTCCACACACATGGAAACCAAAGCTCAGAGAGGGCTGCAACGCACGCAAGGTCACACAGTGGGTCTGC